ATAAAAACATGTTGAAGTACGTTTACTTGAGCACAACTTTGGGCAGTTGTAAAGTAAATAAGTACAAATACAGTACTTAAGTAGAAATTTTGGTTCTCTGTACCAATCAAACTGTCCACTTAGGAAAAAAAACACTGACTGACAATTAAGTTCACATGCTGTCAGCACATTCAACTTTGTACTAAACAAAGTATTTAATGAGGATATTTCATTCATTCAGATCTGGAATGTGTTATTTGAGTGTTCCCTTTATTTTTTTAGCAGTGTATTTTTGAGTGGGTCACCTCCAAATAAATGTCATTTTGCAAAGTCTAAATGCTCATTTTTACTCAATACTTTTACTTACTCAAGTACATTTGTCAGAAATTTACTTTTGATACTAAGTACACAATATATTGGATACTTTAAGACTTTTACTCAAGTAATATTCTTAAATGAGACTTTAATGTTTACTAAAGTAATTTTATGGTAAGATACTTGTACTTTTACTAAAGTATCATTTTGAGGGGATTTTGGGTACTCTATCCACCTCTAATTACAACACTATGGGTAGATAGATGACAACTGTCATGGCAGGTTCATAAACATATAAATCGTGATCAGTCTGCAGTACCATGGACTAAAACTACACAAGTAGCCAAAATCTGAACCATAATCTGTATKTTATAGATTAACAGACACAATAACTGTTTTTTTTGCTAAAGCTATAATTATTCTGCACTCACACATGATCTGACTCCACAGTCTAACCTTCCCAACTTCCAGATTTTACACATATGCTCACTCTCTACACATCTGTGCCTGCTTTAATTATTTAAACTATTAAAGTCATTTAAAACTGTGCAACTTCAGAAACATGAAATATCTGTACCTGAATGTAAATAACACATCTGTTTCTTTGCTATTTTTTGTTTAGTATAATTCTATTTCAATTTACCCTCACTTTAAGTGTGTATGCGTTTTACATTGCATGAGGTATTGCTTTCAATCTAATTGTACTTTTAGACTGACAATAAAGGACATTCATTCATTCATTCATTCATTCATTCATTCATTCATTAAACCTATAGGAGGCCTTCATGTCAGAATTGGACATATTTATTACTTCCATTCACATTATGTTTTCAAAACCACACAAAAAAAATCCTGTCACACTGTCTTTGAAGGCTTGTCAAAAACCACCAGTGCAGGAATCTCTCAGTTCACTTTTAACCTAGAGCACCATTCCTTCCTTCTCAGTTTGTGTGAGCTGTCAGTCAGCTGTGAATGAGAGCTGAAAATAGGACAACACCCCAGAACTTTTACCTTAAAAAAGGAGAGAAAACAAAATCTCCTCTGCTGTTTGATTTTTTTCCCCAAGTAACCAAACACAAGGACAATTATAGTGCTATCCACTAATATTTTCAAGGTAAAACTGTTAAAAAAACATMAGCAATCGATGAGAGCTAGCATGTCTTTCTGTGAAACAAACTGCACACTGCAGGCTCAGTACAGAGGCTAAAAAACCTGAATGAATAACTAGCTTTCAGTTTGCCAGGCTCCAATGTCAATTTAAAAAGAAAAGAATGAAGAAAAAAAATAAAAACTCATATATGAACAATGAGCACCTTTACTGTAGCAATATGACTAAACATAGACAATAAGCAAATGAAGATTTTGTTAGTCTTCAACATTTATGAACATTTTTAAAACAACAATCTGACTATACAAAGGTTAATAATATTACTTTACAATGTTTATTAGTATTACTATAACAGTAGTGCTATTTTTAAAATAATGAGATCATATTAGACAATTTTATTTTCTTACTGTGGTATAATCATACCCTCAGAATCAATCACTGACCCATACCTAGGTCATATTAGATAAGTCACTTAACAAATTTACAGGTCTTTTAAGCAAAGAAAAACTACTTTGTATACACACGAAGTCAAAAGAGCAGTAAAAATTTTAAGATTCAGCCCTTTCATCAATTTTCTGTGGGGGAATGATTGTTTAATTTTTTATATATACATTTTTAAATTTATGTTAATGATTTCATTATTTACTTTTTGTAGAAGCAGCGAGTTCAGGTCATTTCACTCCACAAACAGGACCATTTGTATGTATCTGGCAGTAATCAGCCCATGGATGGCAGTTTGGTTGTTCCTCTTGTTTAGATAATCAGTTTCCCAAAGTGCATAAGTACTCAGTCCACTCCCTTCTTACTGTCAAAATCTGATAATAGAGTGTCCCACTCATGAGCTGCGGTTTATAATAAACACACAAAATAAAAGTCGGGGTTTTCCCTAATTCACTTATTGCTTTTTTGCCAAAACAGTGACTTTTTTTAGGAAGATGTCCTCCTGTCACAAAGACATGCAATGTAATAACGATTGTGCAAAAAAAAAACTATTCTCTGAAATGTAAGACTTATTCACTATTTTTTTTTCTCATGACTCAGTTTGTAGGACGAAAATAATATCTGTTTTTTGCTTCCAAGTGTCTCAGTCATTTTCATAAAATTTGAGGCCTGAGCTGAGTTTAATTTGAATAAAAATATATCTATGTATTCACAAAATTACAAATGTCAACAAAAAATTGGTATTTGTGTATTTTATAACTGTTAGGGTTGTGAACATCAGCATGTTTTACATATTGTCAGCCTTATGAAATTAAAAACCAAAATAATTTGTCTACATTTAAACTGACTAAAATGAAACTGTTAAAAGCATCTGTAAATCTGTAATCATGTTAGATCTAGAGAGATAATCTGTTCATTTCTGACGGGAACAAGATTTATGGGTTCAGCTCAGGACAAAGCTTTTATTTCTTTCTATTACATCTACATTAAAARATGTCGCAAAATACAATTTTTTTTCTTCCTGTTTCTGTCATAATGATTCCTCACTGCATGATCCTAATCTTGCAGAGTGCTTTTGATTACATATTTAGTTTTACATGGTCCTAACATTTATTTCACATCTTTTTTCTGGTGTAATAAAAATGTTGTATTTTATGAATGAGAACAAAGACGAGTAAAACCTTGTGCAAACATTAAGCTTATAAAGTTAGGAAGCTTGTATGAATCAACATGTTATCAAGTCATGTTAGTTATACTAAAGTTAGTATTTCTGCTATTTTTATGTAAGAGAAAACAGCAGATGCCCATCTTCTTCTTATTTATCTTTTTTTGTTGTGATCCAGTGAACTGACTCAGCACCAGCATTCGCAGTGACAGAAAAGATGATTATGGTGTATAATCAGGAGCTTTTCTGGTGTAATGGAGTGCCCACAAAGCATGATAAAGCCCTGAAGTGGATCCAGAGCCTTAGGGGAAATATCCTATCAAAAAAAATAAAGAAAAATAAATATAAAAAAGCCAACAGACTTGGCAGCAAGCCTACCAATGGCAATCTCACTTTTACATGTAAGCTGTGCACACAGTCTTGTTGGTCTGGTCCTCACATAAATGCACCATTGATTGCCATTTGGTAAGCCACTAATCCGTGTAAATCTATTCTACAATGAGGGCCATTCAGGAAAAAAAAATACATATATATACATATATAT